TCCTGGCTGAGGTGGGATTGGTGGAGTTCCAGGTGTTCCTGGGGTGCCTGGACTGCCCGGATATCCAGGACGCGGTGGAATTGGTGGAGTTCCAGGTATTCCAGGTGTTCCTGGTGTACCAGGGGTGCCTGGCACACCTGGCGTACCAGGATATGCAGGATAAGATGGAACAGGTGGTGTTCCAGGCCTACCAGGTTTGCCAGGTATGCCTGGTGTACCAGGATGTCCTGGCTGAGGTAGGATTGGCGGAATTCCAGGTGTTCCAGGTGCTCCTGGGGTGCCTGGACTGCCCGGATATTCAGGATGCGGTGGAATTGGTGGAGTTCCAGGTATTCCAGGTTTTCCTGGTGTGCCAGGAGTGCCTGGCACACCTGGTGTACCAGGATGTCCTGGCTGGGGTGGGATTGGTGGTGTTCCAGGCCTACCAGGTTTGCCGGGTGTACCAGGATATCCTGGCTGAGGTGGGATTGGTGGAGTTCCAGGTATTCCAGGTGTTCCTGGTGAACCAGGGGTGCCTGGAACACTTGGTGTACCAGGGTATCCAGGATAAGATGGGACAGGTGGTGTTCCAGGCCTACCAGGTTTGCCTGGTATGCCTGGTGTACCAGGATATCCTGGCTGAGGTGGGATTGGTGGAGTTCCAGGTGTCCCAGGAATTCCTGGAGTATCTGGAGTACCAGGATATCCGGGATGCGGTGGAATTGGTGGAGTTCCAGGAATTCCTGGAGTTCCTGGTATACCAGGAGTGCCAGGATATCCTGGATGTGGTGGAGTTGACGTGGTGTCGGGCGTTTCAGGATATCCTGGGTATGACGGAATTGATGGAATTCCAGGAGTTCCGGGAGTTCCTGGCGTACCAGGATATCCTGGCTGTGATGGTGTTTGAGTTGGAGGGTATTCGGGCGAGACTGGTGTGCCTGGAATAGGAGGAGGACCAGGATATTCTGGTTTAGCGGGTACTTCAGGATATCCAGGATATCCAGGCACTGGTGTTTGAATACCAGGCAAACTAGGAGTACCAGGACTTTGAGGGTAACCATGATGTGGTGGGTGCCCGGGCTTGCCTGGTTTACCAGGTTTACCAGGTTTGCCAGGTCTACCTGGCTTACCTGGTATGCCTGGAGTTCCTGGTATACCAGTTGTTCCTGGGCTACCAGGATGTTGAGGAGATGGCGGGTATGGCGGAATTCCTGGTGTACTAGGAGTTTCAGATATTTCAGGGTATGTAGGTTGCGGTGGATGGCCAGGCTTTCCAGGTCTACCTGGCTTACCCGGTTTTCCAGGTTTTCCAGGTTTTCCTGGGTGTCCTGGATATCCAGGGTATCCCGGTTGTGCAGGATGTCCAGGGTACCCTGGCTGTGGTGAAATTCCAGGTGTTCCTGGATGACCAGGTGTTCCTGATGTTCCGGGATATCCTGGTTGTGGAGGTGTTCCAGGTGTTCCAGACTGTCCAGGTTGTCCTGGTGATCCAGGTGTACCAGGATGACCAGGTTGCCCTGGTATTCCAGGTGTACCAGGATATCCTGGTTGTGGTGGTGTTGCAGGATGTCCAGGATATTCCGGTTGCGATGGAGTTTCAGGTATTACCGATGTTCCATGTTCCGGTGGTTTAGCAGGATGTCCAGGTTGTCCAGGATAACCGGGTTGTGGTGATGTTGCAGGATGTCCTGGATATTCTGGTTGTGGTTGTATACTAGGCGTTCCTGGTAATCCGGGCGTACCTGGTGTCCCAGGATATCCAGATTGCCCTGGTATTTCAGGTGCGCCCGGGTACCCTGGTTGTGATGGTGTTCCAGGTGTACCAGGATGTCCTGGTTGTCCTGGTATTCCAGGATAGCCAGGTTGTGGTGGCGTTCCAGGTGTGCCAGGTTTTCCAGGATATCCGGGTTGAGGTGGCGTTCCAGGTATTGCAGGTGTTCCAGGATGACCAGGTTGCCCTGGTATTCCAGGCGTTCCAGGTTTCCCAGGATGCCCAGGTTGCCCTGGTATTCCAGGATATCCTGGTTGAGAGGGTGTTCCAGGTTGTCCCGGATGCCCTGGTATTCCGGGTGTACCGGGATATCCTGGTTGCGATGGTGTTCCAGGTTTGCCAGGATATCCTGGTTGCGATGGTGTTCCGGGTGCTCCTGGTTTTCCAGGATATCCAGGATGCCCAGGTTGTCCTGGTATTTCAGGTGTGCCAGGATACTCTGGTTGTGATGGTATTCCAGGTGTTCCAGGGTGCCCAGGTTGTCCTGGTATTCCAGGTACACCAGGATACGCTGGTTGTGATGGAGTTCCAGGTTTTCCAGGCTGTCCAGGTTGCCCTGGTATTCCAGGTGTGCCTGGATATCCTGGTTGTGATGGTGTTCCAGGTGTTCCAGGCTGTCCAGGTTGCCCTGGTATTCCAGGTGTTCCTGGTTTTCCTGGTGTGCCAGGGTACCCTGGTTGTGATGGTGTTCCGGGTGTTCCGGGTGTTCCAGGCTGTCCAGGTTGCCCTGGTATTCCAGGTGTGCCTGGATATCCAGGTTTCCCAGGTTGTCCTGGTATTCCAGGTGTTCCAGGATACCCTGGTTGTGATGGTGTTCCAGGTGGTCCAGGCTGTCCAGGTTGCCCTGGTATTCCAGGTGTTCCTGGTTTTCCTGGTTTGCCAGGGTACGCTGGTTGTGATGGTGTTCCGGGTGTTCCAGGCTGTCCAGGTTGCCCTGGTATTCCAGGTGTGCCTGGGTATCCAGGTTTCCCAGGTTGTCCTGGTATTCCAGGTGTTCCAGGATACCCTGGTTGTGATGGTGTTCCAGGTGTTCCAGGCTGTCCAGGTTGCCCTGGTATTCCAGGTGTTCCAGGATACTCTGGTTGTGATGGTGTTCCAGGCTGTCCAGGTTGCCCTGGTATTCCAGGTGTTCCTGGTTTTCCTGGTTTTCCTGGTTTGCCAGGGTACCCTGGTTGTGATGGTGTTCCGGGTGTTCCAGGCTGTCCAGGTTGCCCTGGTATTCCAGGTGTGCCTGGATATTCAGGTTTCCCAGGTTGTCCTGGTATTCCAGGTGTTCCAGGATACCCCGGTTGTGATGGTGTTCCAGGTGTTCCTGGATGACCAGGTTGCTCTGGTATTCCAGGTGTGCCTGGATATCCTGGTTGTGATGGTGTTCCAGGTGTTCCTGGTTTTCCTGGTGTGCCAGGATACCCTGGTTGTGATGGTGTTCCTGGTTTTCCAGGGTGTCCTGGTGTTCCAGGTGTGCCTGGATATCCTGGTTGTGATGGTGTTCCAGGTGTGCCTGGATATCCTGGTTGTGATGGTGTTCCAGGTGTGCCTGGATATCCTGGTTGTGATGGTGTTCCAGGTGTGCCTGGATATCCTGGTTGTGATGGTGTTCCAGGTGTGCCTGGATATCCTGGTTGTGATGGTGTTCCAGGTGTGCCTGGATATCCTGGTTGTGATGGTGTTCCAGGTGTTCCTGGTTTTCCTGGATATCCAGGTTTTCCAGGTTGTCCTGGTATTCCAGGTGTGCCTGGATATCCTGGTGTGCCAGGTGTTCCAGGTTTGCCAGGTTGAGATGGCGTTCCAGGTGTTCCAGGATATCCAGGTTGCGGTGGCGTGCCAGGTTTACCTGGAGTTCCAGGATGTCCTGGTTGGCCTGGTCTTCCAGGTTTGCCTGGTTGTGATGGAATTCCAGGTGTGCCCGGTATTCCGGGATAGCCCGGTGTTCCAGGTGTACCTGGTGTGCCGGGTTGTCCAGGTTTTCCTGGTGTTCCAGGATATCCAGGATAACTCGGTGTTTCTGGATATCCAGGTTGCGATGGTGTTCCAGGTTGTTGTCCAGGATATCCTGTACAAATAATTTCGATGTCGAATTATAATTAACTGAAATTTGTATATCTTTTCTAATATCATATCATCACTTATATAATATACATACAACAATTATATACAGTGTTATTGATTACTTTTATACTGTTATGTCACGTTACGCATGCCAGGTTTATCATGATGTTTCATTTATTGGTGTATATGACTGATCTGATTTTATTGCTAATTATCGAACCGCGCGCGTTTGTGCTCTTTTATCTTGCTTTTTATTATCAAATGGTATTGTTTCTCCGTCACGACACTTTTCATTTATATAATATTTCAATATATTATTCACCTGGTACTGGTGCCACGCTTGACCCGGAACCCGTTCCATCGAATTGCCTACATATTTCTGGAAAATATAAATTCGCCCATTCCGTGATCACACCGTGATGATCGTGATGATGATCATCGTGCTCGTGCTGATGTTGTCCCGAGTCATCTCCGTGGTGATGCTCGTGTTCGTGAAGGAACAATTCAACCGAGTTCCCTGGTTGAATAACCCGATATCCCCAACCATCGCTGATGTAGAACGTTGTTTTTAGTTTTCCAAATGGATCGATGTATCCGTAACATCCATAAGTGATATCATCGGGTCCTCGTACCTCGTGATGAAATTGTCCGTTGGGACTTATTTCGTATCCATAATTATACGCATCTGTTACGTGAAGGTTAATAATGTAGTTCAGGTGTATAAAAAAATTGTGTGCTCTTGTTAATTATATACTTACTTGAATAGAAGTCTTGATTTAGGTATTGAGTTTTCTGATCGTCACTGATGTTCAGTATCACCTCTCTACTCTGCCTGCTTTCTTGCTGCTGTGCGCATTGCAACAGAGATGTGGCAATCACCTGTCACACACGAACTTACTGTTAATTACCACTTTATTACCGTAATGAGTTTCGGAATTTTATTTGTCAATTTAAATTGTTATTAACGTGATTACGCACAGTCCATCGTACGTGATCGGAGAGCTATTAAATAATGCTACCTTACTTGCTAGTTTGTGAGACATACAACTCAGATTACACGATCAATTACATAGGAACGATAATTGGACATGATATCAGCGAACGTAGGTATTCCAATTTGTTCTTCGACAGGTGAACTAGTCTTGTTCACCTTTTGAAAGTTTAGCGAAGGTTCAGTAACATCTCGGCTTGTCATCGTAAATGTCAAGTCGACCACTTTTAGAGTTCAGAAACGTACTTTCTTAGAATTACTTCGAAAAATTGCGTTTTCTGTATTTCTAAATAACCAATTTGACGATATGCATAACAGTTAGCTAACGCGTGCACAGATTAATTATAAAGTTAAAAAATCGTATTTCTTTTTTATCCTAATTTGTATTTCCTAGTTAAAGGTATAAAGTATAATACAATTGCTGAGAACTCGGTTCTTATCATTAAAGTATTTACACTGTGGAAATTGAAACAAGATTATGCCATTTATCGATGTTGTCTGTTCTCAACAAACGCGTAATTCCATGTTTTTACAAGTGAAGAAACAGCATTGTTGAAGGAAAGGAAGCTGTACCGCGACTCGATCAATGATAACAGTTTTCAATCTTCCCATTTGAGAGGCGCCTGATAGCTCATCGAGTTCTCCAATTATTTCTCCTTTAGCTAATGTACACGTTAGTACGCAATGTATACTAATAGCGGTTTCTATAAATTAATGGTTGCCTGCAGTCGCTCGCGGCATACGGTTGTCACGTTAAAAGTTAATCAATCGCTGCTCGTTCACGATAATGTTTTACAAAATGTCCCGATAGATTCGATAGAGATCTAGAAAATTTTCTATAAAATTTCCTTTCGTTTCATTATCGATGGATAAACAAGAACAAAACTGAATTTTTTTCGTCTCTCCGTTCATGATCGACTGTTGTGCGAGAAACGAGGAAGAGGCTACTGAGAAACAGGTACTTTCTTCTCCCTCGTGTTGTTTGCGACTATTAAAAGCAAAAGTCGTGTAATTTTTCGACCGGACACCATCGTGTTTCGTAATGGAACGAAAGTTCCGACAACACTTAGGAACATCGACAACCGTTACAGTGTTTTATGTTTCGAGTTCTTCTTCGAACGACAAAGTTTTACTTTAAAATAATGGTCCATCAGGCTCGTACGATTTATACTGGTAAGCTGGCCGTTAAAGGATAAAAATCGTTTAAATTTAGTGCTGTAACTTCTGACGCGTTACGGTCACAGTTTTCGACCACGTTTCGTTTGATCTCTGCTTTGTTTTTTTTTTTTTTTTTATTGCATCCTGAAAATTACTGTGTCAATCGTCATACATTATAAAAATAAAAGGATAGATAGACAACGAAGTTACTCGATTTTATTGCTCGTCCGTGTTGTTGACTTTGCGGCGCAGTCAAGAATATTGCAATAGCGCGTAACGTGTGCAGAGTGAGGTAACGATTATTATGTAAAATTTACGATGAATTAGTTAAGCTCTTTGTTACCTTAAATTCTCTAAATTCTTCTCTAAATTCCACTTCGAAACAAAGCCAGTTTTCTGTTTATTATAAGCTTTATTAATTTATTACGTGGCCTAAGGAAAGCTTATGATAGACATAAAAACATAATAAAGCAAAGTTTCTGGCTTTGTTCCAAGCGGAATATTAGTGAAACGAATGTAAAGAATTTAAGGCAACAAGGAGCTCAAGTTAATTGGTTATAGTAGAAAAGTTTGTGGCCGAGGATTTTAATAGTAAAAGAATCGTGTTCAAAAATTATGAACATGATTGTTCCAAAGTTCTTGACTCTTAGGAACCTCGAAAGAAAAAAAAAAAAAAGAGAGAAAAAGAAAGTGTAATAACTCAAAGAAAATGACAACTCTTCACACTGAAGGAAAGAAGAACTGCATGAGAAAAGAGAGACTGCTATTTTTAATATTGAACAACATTCACGGGCACTTGTTTTTCATGCTACACGATAAATTAAAGATACGTATACTCGTTTAAGTGGATTATTTGAATATTTCATTACGCGATACCCCTGTCCTATTTATCATCGCCCACGCGTGTGAACCGAAAGTGAAATTTCGAAGGAGCTTTCGTACCGGTACTTCGACGAATCCGGTTGAACGGGTCTACATACGTACTGTTTGCCCACGTGTTTATCGGTTACTGCAAATCGATGGTGAGCAGAAATTATTAGTCGCGTTACAGTCTTGAAAAATAATTGTTCCGCGTTGTATTTCATTCGATTTATTTCACTCTGTGTATCGGTAATTTTGCCCCCGTTTGCTATAAATGTCGTGGTTATCAGTTATTGGCCATATTTTTGCCATATTTACGATTGTTAGATCGTTGGAAAATTAGGAGCGAAACTACTGGACTGCTCGAAAAATTCGTATTACTTTTATTAAGAATTTTTCGTAGACGTAGAAGAAAATTAAGAAAATAGCAAAAAAAAAAAAAAAAGACCAATTATAAACACTATATTTCTTATCTAAGGAATTTGATGTCAAATAATTTTTCAACAAAAGATTCTGAGGCACAGTTATAGATGACAATTTTCTGGATATAAATCATTCCGGATGACGATATGTATTACAAGTTGCGCCTGTCTATGGAAATATTTGAAAGGATGGCTAGCTAATATTTAATATTTGGTACAATAGTCAATGATAACTAATAGTCAATGATAACTAATAGATAAGACTAATAGTCAATGATATACACGTTGGTGCAACTAATAGTTAATAGTACAACACATTGATACAACACGTGTCTCTTCGTCTGCGACATTAAAACACGCTTAGGATTATCAACTTATAATCGGTGATCAGTGATCGATGGTTGCTCAGTCACGCATTCCCACCCACACGAAAGGCAATTGAATCTCTATTTTGTTCTTCTCGGGTCTTGTTGACAGTCCCATTCAATCGGATTAATGACGCCTCTGATCTCTGAATTTCTTTCTTATTCCAGACAGAACGCGATGATTTATGCGAACGTGTGGTAACAAGTCAATGAGAAACGAAGCAGATGGAAATTGACATTGGGCAATGCCTCGAGAGAGTCAACGCAGCGAAACGGTAAGTGTGAAAACTTGAAAAAAAAAGAGGAATTGCGCTTTGTTTCGTTTTGTGTGAAATTCTCGCGGCGTGTTGCGATGATTTTGGAACGTGTCGTCGAGGTTGTTGAAGGATCGATAGAAAGAACAGCTGTTTGAAGAAATTCTAACCAGCCATCGATCATCAATCGATGGCACTTTGCAAAAATATTCATCCGGAGAAGTTGCACGCATGTACATATATATAATTCCGCTATATCGCTGCCATCAATCTCTGATGTTTGCAGTTAGAAGTGGACGAAAGTACTCTTCATCGAGCTCTTCATCATCACACTCGATGAAGAATCATCCGTACTTCAAACTGTTCAAACTTCGGGAAATGAAATGGCGCGACAATCCAGCCAACCTCAATTTCAAAGCGCGACATCTTGAGATCGATGCTCTCGAAAATGTTTTCACGCTTGTGCAGCGCGTGAAAAAGCAAGGATGTTGTTTTACTGGAAATTGGAAAAAATTTGAAATCGCTGAAAATCGTTTTTTCGAACTTTCTCGATTAGATCCACTGTGTACTTTGAAGATTGATCTTCCTTTTGCATCGACTTCTCAAAACTTGCTCTACAATTCTCGTTTCACCAATTTCTCGAATCTTGAATATTACAGGATGACAAACACCATTTAAGAAATCATAACATCGTGTCATTTAACTATAAAGTTCAAAGTTCGATAAAGCGAACGGGGGAAAGAAAGTCAAGAGATTATGGCAAAGAGGAGACTTCAGTAAACTGCTTTTTGAAAAAAACTTTTAACAACTTTCGAGAACCAAAGTATCTTTGCTTTTTCATTTGCTACACGATGTAAAAACGTTTTTGAAATATGCAATACAATAATTTATTCTGTTCTTAAAATAGAACAACTCTAGCATCAACAAATCTAACTCGGTTTTTAAAATGAGGCCAACTGAATTGTCACACGACTTTGTTTGAATCAAGTTGAAACAGCTTAAAATATATATATATATATATATATATATATATATATATATATATATGCAACAAACAATTTCTCATCGAGTATGCGAATAACTTTCGTCCACCTCCAATGGCTCTAATTCCTCGCGCATCGAAAATTTCTAACACTTCATTACTTCATTGCAAATGAGACGAAATGAATTCCACCTGAATCCAAATTGAAAGACAAGCGTCTGAAAGGTAAGCGTGCCTTAATTTCGACAAGAAATTCGCGCGTCACTTTCCTTTCACGCCTCTCGAGTCACGAATCCTTTCCAACCGTGTTCGACACGAGTCCCGAAAGCAAATTGACCCGGCTCGAGGAATCAATCCGTGTAGTTTCACCCGACGAATAACAAACGATGAGGTCGCGTCGACGCTCGAAGCGCGGAGCACGATCGTTTGGCACGAGGTCGGCCTAAATCGTGGCCTAAAAAAGCAGCACGATCGTTCGTATCCTGCTAAGACGTCCTTATGCCGCGTGATCGATGATGTCAGAGAGCTGTCTGTGTCGTTCCACCCACGAAAAGGGAAAGCGAGAGACCCTGTGATTCTTCTCTTCCCGATGGTCGTCGTCGTCTTCTTCTTCTTTGCGACGGCCCGTCGTCCCTCTGTGTACACACAGAGGCGTTCCTCCGCGGTGGGAAAGGTTAATATATGCGAACGTTCGATCTGCCCTGCGCCGTGAATCAATCGCCGCCATCTGACGACGTTAATCCCTGTGGTATTCGTGCCGGCGCGGTATTTTAGTGGACAATGGCAAATCAACGATCGGCTCTCAGCCATCCTGACCATCCGCGTTTATCCGTCTCGCCGACTGAT